TTATAGATTTTAAAGGTTCTGCTGAATATAATGCTTTTTTTCTGATATGTTTGAAAATTTAAACAAAATGATTTTAAAGGAAAAATAGACATCAATATTGACTCCAAGAAAATTAGAATTTATTTTTTTTCAAGGTGGATTCTCACTCTGTAGCCAAGGCTGGAGTGCAGTGGCATGATCTTGGCTCACTGCAACCTCTGCCTCCTGGGTCCTGGTTCAAGCAATTCTCCTGCCTCAGCCTCCCGAGGAGCTAGGATTACAGAGCATGCCACCATGCCCAGCTAATTTTCAGGAGGCAGAGGTTGCAGTGAGCCAAGATCGTGCCATGGCACTTCAACCTGGGCGACACAGTAAGATTCTATCTCAAAAAAACAAAACAAAACAAAACAGCCCACAGATTGGCTTTGTTTGGGGTTAGGTTAGTGTTTTAAAATGGGCCCTCCCTGTGCTCAGAAAATGCTCAGCAAGCAGCTCCCCACACTGGACAGATTGCATGCGTGGGAGGATGAAGTTTATGTCTGTAGATCTGTTATTTTATGCCCCACTTCCTTTTTTCTTAGATCCTGTGTAGAGGGGTCTCTCTGAACATTGTGTTACTTTGCTTTTTACAGGCATAAGGAAGTAAAATATTTCATAATAAAATTGAGAAAGGTAGAATGAGCAAAATACCTGCGAATGAGAACATTATTAAAGATGGACTATTCTAATGTTTTGCATTATCAAAATGAGAACCAATGAAATTTTGTTTATATTCTTTTCTTGTGTGCTTATGTCTTTTAGAAAGTTCCTCATCTAAAATTACAAAAATAGTGTATTTGCATCTAAATTCATGAAACAGTACCATTAAGGAAAAAAATGATTATTTTTGTCCTTCTCCGTTACTCATTCCTTCCTGTGTCCATTTTCTTCTGAATAATGTTTAAAGGTTGTATATATTACCATGTATTTCTCCATGCTAAAACATTAACACAATTATTTATTTTATTATGTTTTTACCAAAAAAAGTAAATGATAACTATATATTTCCCTGAAATTTGCTTTTTTACATTCAACTGTACATTTTGAATTTTCCTTCAATCCAATGGATGATGATCTAACAATCTTTCTGATGGTAACAGTATGTTCCACAGTATTCTTGTACCCATGTGTTTTCAACCATTTTCCCAATTGTGATATTATAGATTGTTTGCTCTTTTTTGCCAAGTGCTGCAGTAAACACTCTTGTATTCTTATTCTATTTCTATAAAATAAGTTTCCCAAGTCATTTCCACTGTTTTCTATGTTTCCTAAGAAGGTTTTCCTTCTAGAAAATTTCAGGGGGCAAGAGAATAAAGGAATAGAGTGCAGTTTTTCACATATGTGATTCTGTGAGTGTGTATACAGAGATGTAATATTTTAATACATTAGGAATTGATTACTGTATATGAAATAATGCAGGGCCGGGCGCTGTGGCTCAAGCCTGTAATCCCAGCACTTTGGGAGGCCGAGGCGGGTGGATCACGAGGTCAAGAGATCGAGACCATCCTGGTCAACATGGTGAAATCCCGTCTCTACTAAAACTACACAAAATCAGCTGGGCATGGTGGCGCGTGCCTGTAATCCCAGCTACTCAGGAGGCTGAGGCAGGAGAATTGCCTGAACCCAGGAGGCGGAGGTTGC